TATCTTTTAAATGTGGAATGGACGCATAATTTGTTTAAACAATCAATTTTGCAATAACTTTTTTAAAACAAATGCAAATTTGAATGCTTTGGAATAAGTTTACTGCAGAAATGTGGCAAAAATGCTACCCTTTAATAATCTGTAAAGACATTTTTGTACTTTTACTCCGTTTCCGAGATATCGAATATTTTGTCACTCGATGCGCTCTCCGGTCGCACCAGCGCGCTCCGCAAAGTTTTACACATGCATTTCTTTTTAACGTGGTACTTCAATAAATAAATAAAGGTATGCGTATACAGTGATAGTAAAATTCGTAATATTTCCCACTTATTAGGCAAGATTTCATTCATTATTAATTTTCTATTAACTTATTTTCATGATTTGTATCAATCAGTGAAAAAAACTTAATTCACACATTAAGCTCAATTTGAAAGATTTTAAATATCTTTAAGCTAAAATAATGTATATTGTACAATTTAAAAAAGAACCAATTACAATAAAAATAATCTTAAACTCAATTCAAAAATTCAAATAAAAAAGTAGACTGCGAAAATTGACTCGTAGCGCTTATTGCATTTTTTTCTATTACATTAAAAAAAGGCAATATGAACAAGTAAGAAAGTCTAAGTTCGGGCGGAGCCGAACATTAAATACCCGGCGCAAGTATTAAATATATGTTTTATCACCCTTCCGAAACCTTCCGCTAGATGGTAAGCCGAGATGTATCAATTTTGAGTAAATTAGCGTCCTTCAATTTCGAAATGTTGAAGTTTCAAGCATTTCTTAAATTTACCGTTATATGAGAATCGGCCGTTATTTTAGTGCGATTTCAATAATTCTCAACGTTTTGCTTACACGTGGCAAGTACAATAACCATACCGAGTTTGGTACAAATTGGTAGAACATTTACCGATATACTTATATGTGATCATAAGTGGGCGGTGCCACACCCATTTTCCAAAATTTTGCCATAAACGTATTTCTTGGTAAAGAATTGTTGCAAGCATCAATTTTGAATAAATTAGCTTCAATATTTAATGATTTATCGAAGATTTTGTATTTCTCTAAATTACCGTTATATGGGATGTGGGCGTGGTTATTGTCCGATTTTAAAAAGTTTCGGCGGTTTTTTATGCTGTACCAAGGCCAACAACTGTGCCAAGTTTGGAAGAAATTGGTGCAGCGGTTACCAAGATATACATATGTAACCATAAGTGGGCGTGGCTACGCTCATTTTCCAAAAATTTATAATATTCTTATTTTTCGTCTAAAAATTATTGTAAATATTAATTTTGAGTGAATTAGCTTCAGTAGTTAATAAAATATCACAGTTTTCGTATTTCTGGAAATTACCGTTATATGGGAAGTGCGCGTGGTTAAAGTCCGATTTCGCCCATTTTCAATACCAACCTACCTTGGATTAAGGGAAACCTACATACCAAATTTCGTTGAGATATCTCAATTTTTGCTCGAGTTATCGTGTACACGGACAGACGGACAGACGGACGGACAGACAGACATGGCTTAATCGATTTCTTTTTTCATCCTGATCATTTATGTATACATTTGTCTATATCTATCTCGATTCGTTTTGGCTGTTACAAACAACCGTTATGTGAACAAAATTAATATACCCTTGTGCACAAGTGCGCTCGGGTATAAAAAGTTTACGAATCATACAGTGCCGAACAGAAGTATTGGCACAGCGCATTTTTCGCAATATATGCAAAGTTTTTTATTCTAATTTATTTCCGATATTTTTTATAAAAATATTGTTCATTCCTACACCAGAAAACATAATAATAAAATCTCGAAGCTTTGTGCAAAACTCAGGAAATTTCACTAAATTTGCACACTAATTTGCAACTTTTTATTCAGATTTTTTAGAAAAATTCTAAGTATACAGTATTATAGCCCACTCAAATTTAGTATAACAATGTGCAACTTTGAAGTCGCCAGAAAACCGCGTTGATTTTTGGTAGTTTTTTTCACGCAAATTCTTCCACACAAAGTATATTCGATAATTATTTTTTGTATGGAGAAAATGAGCAACACCTTCCATTAAAACTATAGCAACTTTAAACTTGCATTTGCCGCACTAGGGTTGCCAACCATACTATAATATATAGTATTGTTTTACAATGGATGACCTTTATTCTGAAATAACAATGTTAAATGAAATATTATATATGTAAAATGTCATTGTGAGTTTATAATCAAAAAATGTTACATAACTGAGAAAGAATTAACAAATTTACTTAAAATTGTTTCATTTTTTACCCTCTACTCCAACAACTTTGGCATTCACAGGAAGAAATGTTCCATCACTTAAAAATAGTTTTTACTTTTTCTTTTAAATAAAATACTATTTATATTTGAAGTGTACTATATTTTTTGAACTTTTTTGAAAAAGTACTATAAATATCTTAGAAAATGTTGGCAACCCTAATGAGCACTGTTATTATTTTATCGTTATGTTACTTCCTATTTTAATTCTTGAAGTACGCTGTTTTTGCTATTATCTTCAAAGTGCGGAATAGCCCGATCTCCTGCGGTCACAACTTTTTCAACAATCAAATAAAATTTTTTTTGAGACAGATATATTTACGTGTGTCAAAAATTTAAATTCAATGACTTAGATTATTTAAGATACCGGCGTTTGGGCGTGTCAGTCAGAGGCGGACCCACGGCTGTTGTTTTAACTTTTCTCAAATGGTGAAAAACGAATATTTAAAAAAATGTTAACGACCAACACAGATCTTCATTATTTGAGAATATTAAGCAACACTAGTCTGTCCATTACAATATTTCAATCCTTGAAATAACTGAATAAAAAACAAAACATTAAACTGTCCTTTATTTTTTTTGTGAGCATATTTGCAACCATATTTAGTAATCTTTTAGTGCTTCTCTACGCGCTTAACATGGATTTTTTAATGCTTATTTTCTTCGGCCCTGGTTAATAGACAGTAGGCGACTGTTAATGGTGTCAGAAAGGAAGCTGCTAACAATCCTTTCGAGTGTCTTAAGCGCCAAGGAGGAAAGGCTGATGGGCCTGAGGTCCTTCGGGTTAGTACGTGAGGCCTTTCCGGCTTTTGGGATAAATACGACCGTAACATTTCTCCGTGCCAACGGTGTGTGATTAAACTTGAAACAGGCCTTTAAAATACTTAAATGCCATTTCGCAGACACATCCAGTGCCTTAATTAGTTGAGCACTTATTATACCGCTTGGTCCTGCAGTTTTATATGGTTCATCCTCCGAGATGGGTATGTTCACGGCGTAGGAAGAAGTTATAGAAGGGGAGTTTTCCCCTACAGCTATGTTCCCAGGAAAGTGGGTATCTAGGAGTAGCTCAAGGATTTCCTTTCTCGTGGAGGTCCAGGATCCATCGTGTTTTTATAAGGGCCTATCGGGTCAGGAGATCTGGAGAGAATCTTCCGTAGCCTGGCAGCTTCGGAAACACCATCGATGCAACCACAGAAAATTCTCCACGAAGATATCTTTGTTTCCCTCATAGCTTTTTTTTATAGGCCCGGAGTAAGCGTTTGTACTCCTGCCAATCACGCTCACAGCTGAGCCTTTTGGCCTTATTGAATTGCTTCCTGCAAGATTTGCGATGAGAGTGTAACTCCCGCGACCACCAGTGGGTTTACGTTTGCTCCACGGTTTGGGGTCAGGGCACGACTGACATAGGGCATCTGAGCAGATCGAGGTAAATGCGTAGACCATGTTCTCTAAATTCTTGGAACATTCAGGTTCTATGAGGGCTAAGCGAGAAAGCTTATCTTCTGTTTATAGTAGCTCCAATCTGTGTTTTTTAAGTTTTGCGTAGTGTTGGGCTAGTTGGAGAGAAATTCAATACTATTTCAATATAGAGATGATGAGAGAAGGAGGTTCATCTAGAACCCCCCAACCCTCGACCCTCTCAGTTAAGCTTTCACTGCATAAAGTAGTGATGGAGAAATGTCGATGGGACGATCGATGATATCGATGGTTTCAATTTCCCGCCATTATAGAATTTTTCTAAACACTATCGATAGTAGTATGGTGTTCACATTGTTGGAATTGGACTATAAGATATGCACATGCAACATATGTACATATGTATGGTGTGAACTTCTTTGTTTGTAAACATGTTCTTCATGGGTTTCGTTATAAAATATGTTATTCAAATACATGATCTCATTTTGTTTCACACAAGATATTTTTGTTTATACAGATTAACTTTATGGGTTTTGTAGTTACGAAACGAGTTATTAAAGAATAAAATTTCTTCCTGGCTGTTTATATCTTATATAGTAAAAGAATAAACGATCAAATCACTTGCCAAATTTTTCCTGAACCATAAAAAATTTAATCAAATTTGCCTGTTTCAAAATGTTATGCCGTGTTTTACCAATCAATTTTAAATTTTTTAGGAAATTGTGTTATTTTAAATTTTAAGTTTGATACATTTTAAAATCGATTGGTGAAACCGGGCATTAGTGTTATATCTCACCATATGTAAGAAACCTTTCGATAGTATCGAATATTTTGCACTATCACTATCGAAACAATCGAGTGTATACACTATTGATAGTTTTCCAACACTACTTTATGTGAGTTACTGCAACCTTGAAAATTTAACTTGACCGGGCTAGTAGGAAACAATTTTTAAGATATGGTTTAAATAGAGTAGCAGTCAAAAAATAAAAATTAACAAGGGTTATACTGTAATTAATGTAGTGAAAATTTATGGGGGAAAAATGGGCTACGGTATCGATAAAAAAAAATTTTATTGAAAAATCCCCATCTCAAAAGATTTTCCCATATACTTCCAAGAGAAAATGTCGTAGCCTGGACATTTGTAAAGAAAAAGTTTACTTGTTGTATTTTTTTTTTCGTTTTACAATTTGTTCACCTTTTATTATAAATAGTTTTTTGTTTATAAGCTCTTTAATTGATTTTCCATATTTACCATGTAAAAATAAATTTTTTACTGTCTTGTCTAATTTCAGTGCGAGGTAATTGGGATCTACTTTCTAATGTTGCCGCCATAACTCCACCCCGATCCTTAGCGTTTATAATGTCTCGTAAGTTTTTATGTACAATTTTTTAAAACGGCTGAATTTCGATAACAGTACAACCCCATAAGCGACGGAGCTATAAAATTTCAAGTGAAAATGCCCATATTTTGAACGTTAACTTTTATGATATAAACAGCCAATTGTTTTAAAATTTCGCACCTTGAATTACTTGCCACATATAATCGCAACAGTATGCTATCCGTTGTTTGCCAATGTGAATTGGCCCTGGTTTTTTGTTGGCTAAATGAGATGAACAGGTGCCTGTGCATCTGCAACAAATTAAAAAATGTCTCAAATAAAATATCCCCTCGATGATAGTGGATCGGTTAAGCCTTACTTATCCAATGCTTGAAGTAAATGCCAAAATGGTAGTTCATAGAAATGGAGCAAATATACAATACTAATGCAATGGTCGGCGTAATATATTTTGCCGGTATTGCGGGGTTCTCCGTATCAGCATATGGCAATCAAATTATCAAGTGTAAGTTCCTTATCTTTAAAATTTTATTTAAAACACTATGCTTGCCTTCTGCATACAATTTGAAATATCTAGCCAATGTGGCATTTGGCTCACGTAAAACCACTGAATGGGGGTATTTAACCACTCTTTTATGAAGTTCGCCATACGTGTTTTCTCTTGTTGAATAACTGTTATTCCAACCATCGAACGAAAATGCCTTTATGTCAACAGCAAAAAATATATACATAAGTACGACAACAGCATACCCGGGTATGCACATTCGTTTTATATGGGAAATGGCATTGTGTCGTGACAAAAATTTGATTATTTAGCAAATTTCTTTTAATCTGGCTAAGTATTTAAAATATGTTTGTTTTAAGCATGTAAGCCAGATTTTAGAAATATGTTATTTTACTAAATATATAAATAATAAGTTTTTCACAGACCACACTTTACGATTGTGGGTTTGAATGCATACAGTATATTTTGCTTAGCTGCCTATCCTTCTTTGCACGAAGAACTTGTGCTCGGTTAGCAAAAATCAATTAAGCGAATTTTCTTTACTACTTCAATGAGGAAGGTATCCGACTTACTTACCACGTAGAAATTACTTGAAGCGAAATTTTTTCTGAATGGCATCTTATTATCTATTTAACTACATAAATAATAATGATAGCCGTTTTCGTTGTTCTGCGAGATGAGCAAAATAAATGAAAGCTTGTAAAATGAGAGCAAGTGTAGGTAGTGCAGGTAAACCTAATACTTTCTTTGATAATTGATAATATTTTCAAATTTTTAAGGCAGGTATCGCTAATGTGCAAGTATGTTGAATGCACCTATCGGTGTAGTTTCCTTATGAATGTTAGAAATAATGCCGCTGATGCACATTTTGGGGTAGGTATCTTAATTGTGCACTTAAGCACAAAGGCAGCAAAGCAAAATATACTGTATGCGAAATGGATTGGTTAGGTACAAAACCGCGGTTGCCAACTTTTGCATTCTTGAAACCGACACATCAACTTCAATGCTGCATTTTTGAAAATTGTCTATTTAAAACAATAAAACAAGAAAGAAAATAAGATACAAATCTCCATATTACGAAAGTTCAACGTTAATACTTTAAAATATCAACTAAAGTGGAAATAAAAATCACATCAAATTATAAATTATAATTTCTATATACATATGTATTCGGCACGGGGAATTTTTCTCAATGTACATATGTAACTTTTTTTCTAAAATTTTTCCGCGAATTTTTTGTACTACAACAAAAACATTTTCATACTACAACAAATACATAAAAATTTATCTAAACTTCGAGCAAAACTCAGGAAAATTAAATAAATCTGACTACAAGTTGACATTGTTGTATAACTAAGTGCCAGTAAAATATACATATACATATATATGAATGTATGTACATTAGGCTGGGTCAATTTTGATTTTAGTGAATCGCATGGTATTTCCTGATTATGCAGATAATTCTAAGAGAGAGTATAGAAGAAACCATGGCTCGGAAACGAGTTTCGAACCAGCGCATTTTTAAATGAAAAAATTACCTTTCACGATATTAGTTTTTTTTAACCGTTTCATACAAATTTTGCATATAAAATGTCTGTATTTAATAGTGGTGGTAAACTATCGGTAGTGGACACCATCGATAGTTAATAATAATTTTTGGGTCACTATTGATTGCGCCGATAGTCATTTTTTCGATAGTGCGCTGACATCGATAGTCTCGATAGTGTGGATGAGTTTTTCTTAAATTTGAATGTAGCAAAATGACATGTAAAAACTACGTTTAATATAATTGTTGATTTTTGCCATTTTTTTTTGCTAACAGTGTCACGCATTTTCTTCCATATAAAAACGAACTCTTTGTATAGAAGAATATGCGTGGCATTGTTTATTATACTAAAATTTAAAAGACTATAAAATTGCATACCAAACGTTTTTCTCAAAATTCTGATTCCATAGTTTGAAATTTTGGTAAAACTGAGAGGAATTTTATTAATTCCACAAAGTTTGAAACTGAGATTTACATGGTTTTCGGTAGGCGATAAGCTGGGCTTTTATAAAAAATTAATAAGTTTTAAAGGAAAAAAGAAAAATATGTAGCGACACTATAAAATGTTCATTAATTTACTTAAATTCTTGTTTATTTACTTATAAAGCTTAAACATTTTTACTTTTATGATTTTAAGTAAAGTTTCTTTTGTACAAAAAGTTTCATGACTTAAGCTCTAGTTTTCTGTAAAAGTTATTACATATAATGAAACACATGCAATATAAACATATCTATAAGAAACACATTACCTTTTATATTGTGAGTTAGCTATTTGTCCATATTTTGTTATACTATCCGCACGAGTATTATAAAAGATTTCACACAAACGCGTTTCAACATAGATATGGCATTTGGATAGTATCGATAGTATCGAACTTCAAATATGGCCGATAGTGGTCGCCATCGATAGTTGTGATAGTGATGTCCCATCGATACTATCTATATCATTTTTAAAAAGCAAATCGTTACCCAAAGGTGAAAATGCCCATTTTTTTAAGTTGTTCAGGAGAGAGTTTCGCATTATCTGTCATTCTGCATCAAAAACTAAATTTTGAATAAAGTGGACTTGGCACGTTTGCACTTTTAGGTAGCGAAATACATTTGATTAATAAATTTTTAACTTAAAAGATTAACAAATATTAAATAGAAGCGGTTTTTGTATCTTAAGAACAAAAACTCGATATGAAGGCGTCTAGTACTTACCGTTTTTTTGCCAATTTTTTTGCTGGCAGTGCCTCTTCATACAAAAACTACTTTTTTTAACAAAAAAAAATCGTTAAATCTTAGCTAATTTCACTTTATTTTAATATCATTGAATTAACACGAAACTGTATACTCAAAATCTTTCTACGAAATCTATCTAAAAGGGTTTAAATTTTTACAAGAATTTGCTTTTTTTTTTGAACATTGCGCAAAGTTTGGAACTTAGATTTATACGATTTTTGTTAAAGAGTAAACCATATCTTTACGAAAAAAATAACTAAAACTAAAGAATAACAATATGTGGTGCGTCGTTAATTTTGACACAGTTTTCGGACGGTAAATATGGTAATTCAATTAAAAATGCTATAACCTAAAATATACTCATTTTGTATCAATTACATAGTTGTAACAAAAGGTGAACACTCTGTAAAACCGGCATATATCAAAAAATAAAATTTATAGAAAAATTAAATTTTTATTAAAAAAAAAGCGCAGGCTAGAGACCAGAGGACGAAAATATCCCTCTCCACTTTGAAAGTGTCCCAAAATAACCGTCACTATTTAAGAGAAAAAATAACCCACAAAACAGAACAGGTGGTTTATTTTTTGTAGATGTGTGCTCCGCTCAGTCGGAAAGGGTACTTTGCATATCTTTTTCGTTGCTGTTGGACACGGACACTTATCGCTGGAAGAGGACAAATAAGTGTTACCGTAGAATTGCGTAGAAATATATCAAATTTGCCAATCGATGATAATATCGACAACAAATTCGATAAAATTATCGATAAAAAATAGATTAAAATATCGATACCCAAATCGATAGAAATATCAATAACAAAATCGATAACAAACTCGACAAAAATAACGATAACAAAGTCAATAACATTATCGATAACAAAATCTATTAAAATATCGATACACAAATCGAAAACAAACTATAAAATATCGGTTATTATATCGATAAGTCCCGAGAATACCGAAAATCTGAAAATAGTTCCCAGGTTTAGTCTCTGTGACTTTATATCATTTTCTTTATAATTACTTTATTTTAATCTTTATTATTTTATCTTCATCTTTACTCATCTTTATCTTTTTCTTAATATTTATCTTTATCATCTTTATGTTTATCATTTTCTACATCTACATATTCTCCTTCACCTTTGCCCTTATATTAGTAAAATTTTTAAATTTACCTTGATTTTAATTTCTGCATTTACCATTACGCATCATTGTTTTTGTTTTTATTTTTACCTTTGCCTTTATCCTTTTCTTTATCAATAAAATAAAATAACTTATTTTCGGTGTATCATACTATGTATGTCCACGCTCTCTTCTTTGACATAAATGTTCGCACATGTATGTGTACGTATATGTCGTGTAAAGAAATTCCTAACGCTTTTCTTCCACTTATGTACGCCCACTTATATTTTTCAGTATTACAATCAGTGTTGCCGTTTTAGTCCTTTGGTGGCTAGATTTAGCTACCACATACTTTTTTTGGCCACATACATTTAAAATTGTCCCTAGCCCTTTTTTTGGCACTTTGGAGAATTTATTTATACTTGTCATGAAAAAGGGGTATAATTGGGCTTAATTGATCTCATTTTTTTTTCATTTATGTAAGAGATGAATTTTTAAACTAAGACTGATATATATACATATATGTAATGTATGTTCCTTACGTTTTTATACATACGTACTGTAAAA